CAATAACTCTCTACCAAAAGTGCTATAGCGGCATTGAGTAGGATTCAGTCGTTTCGAAAAGAATGCTAGGGGTTGCCATTCGCCGTGTACCTGTTGTTGTAAAACTGCCCCGATGGCAACGTCTGAAGCGTCGGTCATGAGAGACAGAGGAGCGTCATTTTGACGTCTGACCAAGAGTGTCTTGTCATTTAACAATTGTTTGACATTTTCGAATGCTTTAACAGCTTCTGCGGGCAAATGGAATGAACGACTATGTCCACGTAAGCAATCGGTTAATGGTTGTAAAGCTTTAGCACAGTTCGGAATAAAACGCCGGTAAAAACTGACAAGACCCAAAAATCGCCGTAATTTTTTAAAAGAATCTGGTAATGGATACTCTTTGATAGCTTGTACGTCATCAGGGACTGGTCTGATTCCTTGGCTATCGATTAAATGACCGAGAAATTTCAGTGAGGTCTTACCAAATTCACATTTGTCTAAGTTGATAGTCATTCCGTATTGGTTCAGTCTTTCAAACACTGTCTTCACATGTTTCAAATGCTCGGCTTCGTCTGCACTTGCAATTAGTAAGTCATCGATGTATGCGTAGACGAAAGGGAGACCACGGAGTACTTGGTCAATTAGGCGTTGGAATGTCTGAGCGGCGTTCATAAGTCCGAAGGGCATGCGTACGAATTCATATAAACCGAATGGTGTGGTAATGGCAGTTTTCGGAACGTCATCCGGGTGGATGGGGATATGATGATACGCTCGGACGAGATCGATTTTAGAGAAAACTTTAACATCTGGTAAGTTGCTAGCAAAATCGTGGATGTGTGGTATTGGGTATCTATCAGGTACCGTTTGCTTGTTTAAAGCTCGATAATCACCACACGGCCGTATTTCACCAGAAGACTTTTTGGGTACCATGTGAAGCGGTGAAGACCAAGAGCTGTTGGACGGTCGAATAATACCAAGCTCTAGCATTTTATCGAACTCTGTTTTGGCAATTTTAAGTCGATATGGGTCAAGGCGTCGTGGACGTGCAAAAACTGGCGGTCCAGTGGTTTTAATATGATGAACCACATGATGCTTCGGTTCTGTTCCTCGAAAAGAAGGTTTTAAAAGGTCAGGAAACTGATTTACCAAATTGGTATATGGAGATGCTGGTGTGCGTGTGACCATCAAATTCAGTGATGATGCACGGCTAATCGTACCAGCAATGTACGTTTTATTGAGCGAATCTATTAGCTTGGGGCTTATCGGATCAACTAACAGTTTGTGTTGCTGCAGAAAATCAATACCGAGGATTGGGGATGGGACGTCTGCAATGATGAAAGACCAAGTGTAGGTATTCTTTAAACCAAAATCTAAAGTCATTCGTTTACTTCCATATGTAACAATACTGGACTGATTAACAGCTTGGAGCGTAACTGCTGGGTCAGGGTGTTGACGTTCCTGTGTAGACGGAGGGAGAACACTCACCTCTGCTCCTGTGTCAACTAAGAATGTAGTACCGGTATTTTTATCTGTTACATAAAACAAACGACTGTTAGATCGTAGATTGTCAACAGTATTTCTTACACATGACGATATATCTTTTGGTTTAGTCTGAAAGTTGCAAGGTGAACGGCACCGTCGTGCATTGCTTCCATAACTACGGTGATACCAGCAAATATTATCGCGTTGTCGTGACGTGCTAGGGGATCGAGAAAGACGTCGACGGGACGAGCTTCTAGAACGGCTTGGTTGTGTGCGTGTGGTCAGTTTTGCTAACTGACTCAGTAAGGTGTCGACTTTGTGTTCTAGAGTCTGTATTCTATCATGAGTGTCTGGTATTCTGCTAGTGGAAGCGACAGATTGAGGTGTTGACCTCTCGTACATGCGATCCGCGATTTCGGTGAGCCTTTCTATGTCAATGTCGTCGTCTCCGAAAGCAAGAACCTGCTGGATGTTTGCGGGAAGTCGTCGTAGCCATATTTGGTAAAAGAGACGTTTATCGATTTCTCTTCCAGCAACTAGGCTTTGCATATGTCTCATGAGTTGAGATGGGGTTTTATCACCTAACTCAACATTGCTTAACAGGCGATCGAGTGCTTGCCTATCTGAAAGCGAAGTGCATCGCAGTACCTCTTCCTTCAACTTGTCGTAAGGTGCTTCTGTGCTGGGTTGGACGATGTATTGCCGTACCTGCTCGGCGACTTCGTCTGGTAGTACTGTACTCAAAATGCAGAATTTAGCTGTCTATGACGTTAGCTTATTGCTAGCCAAATAATGTTCCAGTCGTGCAAACCAAAGATGAGGGTCTCTGGGCTTAAAAACTGGTACAGTAAGAGAGATAGTACTAACAGATCCCAGCTCTAAGTTATCAGAGGTATTGGAAAACATGTTACAATTCGCAAAAAAAAATGGTTTAAGATTAGCAAAATAGCAAAATTTGTGCGCAATAAGAATACGGCAAACAGAAAAATGCAATGCAGGTGCTTACCACAAATTACTGCAGGTTGTGCTATGAGCAAACACAAAAATGAGTTCGAATTGTTTAATAAATATATAGATCCGCGAAAGTTAGAGTTTTAATAATCCAGCAAGTGTAACAACGCGTCGAGGTCAAAAAGTCGTCGTCGTCGGTGTCAGCAATTTGTCGTCGGGGCTCACCAATTTGTTGCGTGTTCTATTTGACTAAATGAGCGTACACGTATTTCCTAGTACTTCTTCACGTTTATCAATGTGCGCAGACGTTGTGGCTACTCGACGCCCACAACGTAAAATCAGAAGGCACTTGTGAAGAGTATAATCGTGTATTATAGCCGTAGTCAAATTTCGAAAAAGTATCAAGGTAACGTTCAACTGTAAATTGACAAATGTTTACGAAGTACATATAAAATCGATATGTGTAAACATATATATATATATATATATATATATATATATATATATATAGCAGAAATGTTTAAGGCAAATGTAGGGGGCAAGTTCGCTGCACTTACCTTGATTCACGACAATATCGATTCACTCACTGAAACCATTAAAACAGTGCTGCATGAATCAGCAACAGAAGTTCTGGGTAACAAAAGAAAGAAAATCAAACCATGGGTCACAGACGATATTTTAAACCTGTGTGATACAAGAAGAGAACTAAAAAAGAAGAAAGGACTTAATTCCCAGTACAGGGAAGAGTATAGAACAGTAGACAAAGAAATACGCTCCAAAATGAAGAGAGCAAAGGAGGGCTGGATTACTGAACAATGTAATATCATCGATAATAGCTTAAGGGGAGGCAACAATAAAAAAGCATTCGAAACACTGAATAAGCTGACCAATACGAAACTGAATAGAGCAACCGTAATTGAGGATGGTAAAGGCACCCTCTTAACAGAAGAAGCAGATATCCTTAGAAGGTGGACAGAATACTGTAAGGGACTCTACAATCATAAAATAAGCCCTAATTATAGCCTAATAAACAATTCATGCTGGGACAATAGGGAGATCGGTGATTCACCCATACTAGAGTCAGAAGTAGAGGAAGCAATAAAATCACTTAAGGGAGATAAATCACCAGGAATTGACAACATACCGGCAGAACTAATTAAACATGGTGGACCACAAACAGTTAAATGGCTGAAAGAAGCCTGTCAAAAAATCTGGCAAGAAAAAGAATGGCCTAAAGAATGGACTCAGTCACTAATCATTCCAATATTTAAGAAAGGGGACGCAAAGCAGTGCGAGAACTACAGAACAATAAGTTTAATCAGCCACCCAAGTAAAGTCATGCTGAAAGTAATATTGAACAGACTCAAAAAGAAAGTAGAGGAAATACTCTCAGAAGAACAGGCCGGATTCAGGCCGGGCAGAAGCACTGCTGAACAAATTTTTAACATAAGGGTACTAAACGAAAAATGTCTACAACACCAAAAAATGCTAGTACACAACTTTATCGATTTTAAGAAGGCCTTTGACCGTGTGTGGCACGAAGGCTTATGGCAAGTCATGAATAACTACAATATAGATAAAAACATAATTGAGGTTATTAAGTCTTTATATAACAAATCTAGTAGTGCAGTATCTCTAAATAATCAAACTGGCGAGTTCTTCAGAACAACTATAGGAGTACGCCAAGGGTGCATTCTCTCACCAGTCCTCTTTAATTTATTCCTCGAACATATTATGACACAAACCCTACATGACTTTACACCGACACTTAGCATAAACGGAAGACCAATTTCCAACCTCAGATTTGCTGATGATATAGCCCTCATTGGGGAAAACATTGATCAAGTTCAGGACCTCACCTCAAGACTTGATGTTGCAACCAAATCTGTGGGCATGGAAATCAGCACAGAAAAAAGCAAAATACTCATTAACGGAGGAAACAACTCAGATAGATGTATCAGACTTGATGGACATGTATTAGAAGAGGTTGAAACTTTCAAATACCTTGGGTCTACCCTAACAAAAGATGGAAGGTCCACTAAGGAAATAAAAATTCGACTAAACCTAGCCTCTGCCACCATGTCCAAGTTAGGGAAAATATGGAAGAGCAACATCAGCGTCTCAGCAAAAATGAAACTCTACTCGTCACTGGTCCTCTCTGTATTCCTATATGGATGTGAGAGCTGGACCCTGAATGCAGAGACAGAAAGAAGAATACAAGCCTTCGAAAACAAAAGCTATAGAAGGATCCTAGGAATAAGTTACCTTGAAAGGAAAACTAATGAATATGTCTTACACCAGGTCCATAGACTGGCAGGAAAACAGGAACCACTCCTTTCAATCGTAAAGAAACGGAAACTACAATGGTTCGGCCACACGGTAAGACATGACACATTGTCCAAAACGATTCTACAAGGCACAGTAGGAGGAGCACGAAAGAGAGGTCGACCGAATAAGAGCTGGCTTGACAACATAAAAGAGTGGACTGAAATGCCCTTGGATACGCTACAGAAAATAGCATTAAACCGAGAAGAATGGCGAAGACTGATAGCGCGAACTGTCATAGCACCCCCACGACGAAAGTCAAGGGACTGATGATGATGATGATGATGATGATGATGATGATGATGATGATGATGATGATGATGATGATGATGATGATGATGATGATGATGATGATGATGATGATGATGATGATGATGATGATGATGATGATGATGATGATGATGATGATGATGATGATGATGATGATGATGATGATGATGATGATGATGATGATGATGATGATGATGATGATGATGTGTAAACATATAATATGAGTATGCAAATTAAATTAAAAACGTATGTTTATAGTTGGTATAGGGGTACTACAAGCTATCTACTTACTTTTAACACGGAAGAGAGGAAAAAATAACCTCGGAAACACTCACTCACTCACTAACTTGTTTTGCCTTCAATCAAATGTTTCCTTTCAGACCTTTTTAAGACTTCAGCCTTAAGTTATGTGATATACTTACTACCTTGTTGGAGATATTATTGTACGGCTTGTAGAGGTGTCTGCATTTTACTGGCTAAAACACCAACACATATATGAACTCTCTGCCCTGTAAAGTTGTCTGGATTCTATTTTGCTACAAGTTAGAGTGACTGTCACTTACTTTTTTATATGTAGTCTATTTATTATTATTATTATTCTAAGAAACCATCGCGAAACCATTTGTCTGTCCGTCACTGGACAATTTGAACAAAGCAAGAACTATAGTGGCTTTTGCAGAATATATATATATATATCAGAATATCTGCGGGAGCTTATGTCTACAGCTGGGAACAAATGCTTTTGCTAAACAGTGCTATCCATCGCCAGGCATCTCCTTGACAGTCCCGTCGGTCGGTGAGTCATGAGGTGGAAGTTGAAAAATTTCGTTCAAAATTATCAATAGGCAATAAAAAAAGAAGAGGAGCTCAATCCTCCTTAAGTTTCCTGGAGGCATTTTCCATATTTCGGGTATGAGTGAGTGATGAATCATTCCTATTGCATTTGTTGGGTGTCGGTAGACTCGATGAACCAGGCAGGATTCAGTAATCAACCTCTCTCTCTCTTCATCTGCATATATTACTTTTTAGAATTTTAACCCTCTCCCACCCACCATGCTATTGTGTGGTTGTGTGTTAATGCATGAAGTGCAGTGCAGTGTAATGCTGAGTGCTTTTTTCTAATTTACTTATCTTCTCGGGTGGGGTCAACCATTCTTACTTTAGCTAATTTCTCATATTCTGACAGTCTGATTACCCCCGAGCGATCTACAAGTTTGACTGACCTGTGTAGTTGACCTAACTCAGAGTCATTGCAGGGTATTTTGTAAATTATATTATTTTTGTTTAATTCGGTCAACCGATAGGAACCTTCAACCTACAGAGCTTGTCCTACCTGAGTTAGTTTGTAGGTTTGGATGCCACCACGAGCCTAATTCCTCCTTTGTTATTAATAATCCTACGTAGGGAGTGTCTCAGATGTCCCCTCACTCCTTATATGGTATAACTGCTGTAGATGACTTATATTCTCTCGCATTTATGTTACCACTATTAGTTTCACAATTATTTTATATTGCATCTGGCCTTTTTCGATCTTCCTAATGAATTTTATAGGATAGTTAGTTATTTAATACCAACGCTTCTTCCATCTGTTTCATTTCATTATTTAGGTTTTTTCTTGTGCTACTTAGTGCTACTGCTCGGTTTGTTAAACACTTAACTAAGCCTGCCTTAACAGATAACGACGGATGAGGTGATGAATTAAAGTCTAAATATCTATTAGCAGAATGCGTCGGTGTTTTATGAAAGCTAGTGTTCAGTCTGCCTTCTTCTATTCGTTTTATTTTACCATCCAACATCACAGCTAATTCTCTTTGTTCATTTTCCGATTCAAATGTGAATTTTATTCCCTCTACTAGTGAGTTTATGTGTGTGTCAAGAACCTAGAGAGGGATATATTCTGTTTTCAACACTGTGTGTGTGAAAGTGTCATCCACATATGTGCACCACATTTTTGGAGTGGGATTAAATGTATTAAGTCCATGAAAAATTCCCATTCGAACATTAATAGACAGAAGACAAGTAGTTCAGCGAAAGTTCGCCGAAAAGAGACTCTTCGCTGAACTACTTGTCTTCTGTCTATAAATGTATTAAGAGCAATATTTTCCCAGCTGTTTATCCACAAATATATCTGCTACGATAGGGGATATTGGTGATCGACTCCATTGCTACACCTTCTGTTTGTCTACATATTTTGTCTTGGAATTTAAAGATAGTAGATGTGAGTGAGACATAACTGAATTCCTTAAATAATTTCCTCTTCAATGGGCAGCAGCTTCGTCCTATGAGTGAGTGAGTGAGTGAGTTCAGGATCTGCAGTTAGTTCTTTTTTTAACTGCTTCTAAGGAGTTTTCCAATGGCTGTTCTCTAACCGATGTCAGTTCATGATGCAAGCATGATGCTGATGTGAGTGTGGGGGTGTTTTGTTTCACATTCCTTCAAATAATCCTTCCTGAGTTTGGTAGAGGGGTTGGATGAATATTTAGCCGGTGATTTTCAGGTAATGGAGAAAAATGATTGCAAAATTCCTGACGATTAACAGTCTGTGATGCAGACTGTTAACACCAGAATCAGACTCAGCTGTGTTCAGTCAATTTGCATTCAACAGCCTCTACTACCCAAAACTGTCTACAAAGCTGAGTCCAGTACTGAGACAATTTGCATTCTTAGACTTGCTGAAACTCAAACTGACTGTTGGGTTGTTGTCAAATGGCTAGATTGTTATTTCACAGGAGGAAAGCAGTACACTCACTGTATGTCAGTCAGGGAAAGTCCTCCACTTCATTTCTTACTGAGGCTGGTGTCCTCCCTCAAGGCTCTGTCCTTCCGCCTTTCCGCTTTTCTTTCTTCTTACATGACTTACCTCACTCTGATAACGAAATGAACTTTGTTAAGTATGTCGTCGATCTAACTGTTTCAATGTCTGTTGACTCCAGCCAGCTAGACTGTACTAAGATGAAGAGCTTTCTATCAGGAGTCAGCACATGGTCTTCGTCTAATGGCCTTAAACTGAATCCTTCCAAATGTCAGACTGTTAATTTTAGTTTCCGATGTGAATGAAAGTTAAATGAAGCTACCTGTTGGTTCCTATGACCGTTGCAAAATTGATGATAGGGATATAGAAATCAAGTGTGAAGTTAAGTATCTTGGATCAGTTCTTTCTACTGGTCTTCACATGTCTTAGCGATTTCTCAAAGAATATTTCGTTTGACTTTTTACATTAAGAAGAGGTTAAGGCACTCAGGCATAACCCAACCCCTCCTCATCCTCTTACAGTTTTTCAACTCGTGCGCATCTTACCTATTCTTCTTTACTGTTCACCCCTGCTTATTCTCTCCTGGATTGGTTGTTTAAAAAAGACTATGTCATACTTCGTAGAACTCTGAAGACTGTCAGTCAGTCAGTAGGGCGAGTGGTATCCCACTAGGCCACATCGTTGACACTGTCATTCACGATAGGCACTTGATGTCATGCAACAAATCTGTTAAAGGAATTTTGTCAGACTGTGAGCATCAACTTTAGTTACGCACAGCTCCAACCTTGTGTCTGAAACCTCAGGTAAAACAAGAAGTCTTTTCAGAAGAATTTATGCACGTACGTCTAAGTATAAAAATTCCATCATACCATATTTGACAGCAAGCACTTTATGTGATGAAAATAGTGTTAGGCATGAACTAACTATCTAACTAACTAACCTTCTTTGCACTACTAAATAAACCATTTTCTCCGCCCTTACAACATCAAGATTTATTGTCATTGTACCTTTTATGTTTATAATCCTCTCAATTTTTATTTTTATTTATTTTGTCATAAGTGTGAACATCATTTGAGCTGTGTTATAACTGTTAATTTTGTCTTTCCCCTCACCATGCTTCTATATCAACAGAACATTAGATTCAATGCCTCTACAATAACATGCTAAAATTTCCAAACTGAATAGACAGTACTGTTTGAAACAAACTCACTGTTATTATTATTATATTTAATATTCTCGATTCGTGCTTCGAATATTTTTGACTTTGTATCGTAAACGTGGACAAATTCCTCCGGTTAATTTTGTTTTAATTTTTAATTCTATTTAAATTTTGAGTAAATCAGATGCAAGCTGTTGTGAGAAATGCTGAGAATTCCATTCTGTATTATAAATAGTGCTGCTTTTGGAGTAAAGCAGATGATTATTATTATCATGGGTTTCTGGCTTCATTCCTTCAAATTGAAAAACTGGAGTACCGCCTAATATTTATTAATTATTTCAACGCAAATTACTACACTAAATCTGTACAGTGAGTAGAAGGATACGATGAGAGTGTCAGTACGCACCCACTGCACCGGGGTTCGAACACAGAAGCTTCCCGGTTACAAGGCCGGCTAGCTGGCTCGTATGCCATTCAGCCACTAACTGGGACCCCATTCATTGGCTCACGAATTGGTAGAAGTTAGAATTCATGCACTGGCTGGCTGGCCATTGAGGAATCGGGTCTCAGAGGCTCGATGGTCTACGAGCTAGCTCGCTAGGCTTGTAACCAGAACGTGGTCGTGGGTTCGAACCTTGTCAGTGGGGTGGATACGTACTGATGAAGAGCCCCAAACTAGGACTAAACAGCTGGCTGTCCAGTACTCCCTGTGGCAGGCTTTCCAACGGTTCTCTAACCAATGTCAGCTGCTTATGATGGAATCCTGTACCCAATCAATCAAATCACTCCCTACAAACCAACACTTGAAAAGGTTGACCTCCACACAGACTTTACAGTAATGAAAGCTTGTCTTGCTTTACCGATTCTTGCTCTGATATCCTTATCAGTTCCGCCTGTAGTTGAAACGATGCTTCGTTTCTGCGCTTTTCGATTACTACGTTGCATTTACATAGCTACCTAAAACTCTTATTTTTGTGCAATATCTTGCCAAAAAGTTGCAAAAAACTACTGCAATTATTTGCCTTTGAAACGCTCAATCTTTGGATGTAAACTTTGTTGTTGGATAATGCCTATAACAATCTATTCGCCACTCTGTGCTTGTTTAACGCCAATTAATATCTATAGTTGTATATATAGATGGATTAACATGTTCAAGTTGGCTCAAGTCAGTGAGTCTATGATTTTGGTATCATTTTGGTTAACTGTACTTGACTGTGAAAGTATTATTGTTGTTGTCGCTTGTTATCCTTCTTGTTGTGAATTATGTTCCTTTTGCTGGTGTTGTTCTGATTGTTT